AAAAAAAAAAAAAAAACAAAATCCATGTTCCAACGAATAATTTTCCGGTAATATATTCCAGAAAAATTCTAACAGATATTTTAATGTATAGCTTTCGTTGGAATGATTCCATCAGAATTATTCATTGGAATGAGTTTTAAATCGGAATTTAGATAGAATTTGATCATTCCAGCAGTTTTTTACCGCAATAGTTTTATTTGGGATTTTTATTTTCACCCATATTTCAACCATTGAAAAATGTACCGTTGAAATCGTCAAAATCCAGCGAAAATCCTAATGAAAAATTCATCCCGACGGAATATTTTTGTTGGAATTTCAGTTGGAATCAACTGGAAAAATTCCAATAGAAATCATAGCATTGGAATATTCATTAGAATTGCCGTTGGATGTAGATTATGTTTCAGTTGGAATTTTCCACTGGACTTTCATCATATTCTTGTCGTGTGTGTCTATTCTTGGACATATTATTTGAGTCAGTTTTAAGACAAAATAAGTTTATATATAATATAATTTCTAGTATATATTTAAAAGACTTAACTTTAAATTTTATGACATGATTGATATGATGCAATGACGTGAGATTCCTATGAGCATTCCCTTACTCATTTAATCCTATGATTAGTATTTTTTTTTTTAAAAAAAGGAATGTCCATACCCAACGAGAATTGCAAAACACATCTTCGTTACATTCCATAGTCTTTTTTTTTTTTTTTCAAACGATAGATATCTCATAGCACAAAATAAAGGTACAATCGAAGGACTCGCTAGTCCTTACAAAAACAGCTGGAGGACCACTCCTACAAGGTGGCCTAGACCAAACAACAACAAGGCACTAAAGGCATAGACAAAGCTATGAGACCAAAGCACCACCAAAACAAAACAACACAAAACAAAGACCCTAACACGCAAAGACCCCCCACAAAGACCTTCCATAGTCAATGAAAGGTTTTTCCATTCTCATATCCTTATCATTCAATTTTGCAAAAAACAAATTAACAAATAACAATAAAAGACAAATATATAATATATAATATAGATCATGATTGGATTATATTAAATAAAGTAATTTTTAAAAATTAATTTCAAATGAATAATTAGAATAATTTTATTTCTATTTATTTTTCATATTCTGATTAGATCTATTAAATACTAAAATACATTTATAAATAGTTTAGAATGATCTTATTTTATTTTAATATAATCATATATACTACAATTTTATTCATCAACTGAATTATATTATAAAAAAATGTATAATGCTCATAGAGGTTTATGTAATGATATATTTGTATTAGTCAATATGTACATAAGTGCATAATACACTTATTCATTTTATAAGATGAGTGCAACAATACAAAAATATATTTATTAACATATAGTATATTTTTTTAAACTAAAATAATTTTATTATTATCATAAAATAAAAAAAAAAAAATTAAAATATCAATGTTTTTTGTATTATATAGTGTTAAATGATAATATAAGATGATAATGTCATTCCGTTCAGGTCTTAATAATGTCTTATTTCTTGTGCATCAAATTAATCAATGGACAAACTTATTTAATAATTTCTCAAAATCATTTCATTTTTCAACCCATTCTGTTTCTATCAAATTTTATTCCATTATGCCAATGATGTCATTACGCCTAAGTGAATTTTTTTGAAAAAAATCTTTTTTTTTTTAGGTTCATTCACACCATTCAATAGTTAAAATATATTACTATGACATTAAACAATAACATTCCTATAGCATTAGTGATGCTTCAAAGGTTCCTTTTGAACCCCCATTGTCATTTACTACAAAAAAGAAAACTAAAGTGGATGCTAATGAGGGATACATAACAAAAAATAAGTTGCATCCTATTCCTCACCAACTAATTAGAAGTAGTGTGTGTAGTTCAATTATAGAGATTAATTATAATCTTATTACATAGTGGGACTAACACAACTTTATACCAAATTCCAATTACCTTTTAGGAGCGCATTAGTTCACATTGAAAATTAACTTATATGGTTCCAATAGTCAAACAGACCAAAATCATCCAATTTTCCCTTATCTTATGCAATCTAAATAAGTTACCTTATAGATTATATTGTTAGCTTATAAGTTTTCTATATGCAAATAAGACTCGTTTCGCATGACCAGCTTTTTGAAAAAACTTGAATTTATCTCGTAAGCTTCTTTGGATAACTTTTTAAACAAGTTTGTTGAAATTTTTATTTCAACTAATTTGTCAACTAATTTTACCAAATACTTTTATCATATAATCTAGCTTTTCAGCTATAAGTCATATACTATAAGCTATAAGCTCGAAAATTACTTATAAGTCATAAGTTAGTTTATCAATTATCATCTCGTTTATCGACTATTTTTACCAAACATAACTATGTAGACATTTCACCCAATCAATCCTCATAGAGATCCTAGGCTTTCTCGGTCCTTTTTTTTTTTTTTAGGTTAACCGGTTAAGCAATAAATTTTCAGCTTGAAATATTTTTCAAAAAGAAAAGCCGGTTCATAGTTGGAAAAAGCAGAGTCAAAAAGAAAAGCCGGTTCATAATTTTTCGGTTATTGTGAAATTGGTAAGAATTCATCATTCATGACAGCTCAACTTCACGGACAAAGAAAAAGGCATATTGAAAATAAAGGAGAAAAATGTGTGTCCATACACTAAGCACCAAATTCCTTCTCACAGTGGGCCAATAATAAGACAAAAAAAAAAAAAA